CTCTTTGGCATCCTCAGGTGGGCAGATCGAGGCCAGCAATACTGAGCTCATGAGACGGAGGACGAAGAATACACTCAAACCGCTTAAGTTGTCCTTCTTGGATAGTCTGAGATATTTACGCGATGTCGCAGTGAGTATGCACTATTTCATTTTAGACGAGGTCGGTGTACTTCACTCGAAGGATGCTCCTCAGGCATCGGTGAGCAAACCTCGACTTCTTGCTCGTCTTCCACGCACACAGTCCAGCATGACAACCTTAAAGGTAGGCTTGCCGAACGGATACGCGGTAAACGCGGATCCTAGTGGCGATGTGGATGTCGCTTCGAATTCACAGGAACTTTATAAGGATTGTGAAAATCCTGCGAGCAGAATCGATTTAGAAGACTACACTGTCGGTCGGACCATTCGGCAGCAGTCGCACCCCGAGGTATTTGGAACTGTCTACTTCTTCAGGTTGATAACCATTGATTCCGAGGCGTGCCTTCTTCCTCTCAGGGATACGGATCGGAACCCATTTGGTCTTTCCAGTGTTTATGGATAAACCTACTGAAGTAGCAAATTCATTTACCCATGACACCACAGACTGTAGATCACCAGAACTTAAGAACAACAAGACAATATGGTCAGTGTGGTCGAGTTCAGTTAGCCAGCGTTCGGATACAAACTCAACACAGTCAGACCCATGTAGGACCCTTCCGAGCATTCAGCCACTGCTGTAGTTGAGCAAAATGAGCGACCAGATGCAACTCTATCGAATACCAGATCGGATACTGAACGTTTGGGATAGATTGTTATGGAGCACAACTCGCACGGTGGTGGGGCGGTAGTAGGCCTTGATCGTGACAGTGGTTCTGACCGGTAAGTCATCTGGTTTCATTATCCGCCAAAGGGACTCACAATGGGCGGAATCGGACGCAGTGTCGAAATCAACAAAACAGACAGCCGTCGGCTGCTGGCAGCCACGGCGTAATTCGAGAAAGGGAATTACTGTGGATATCTAGTCCATGCATCCACGCTCAACTCATGATTTGTGACATGGTTTGGACTCATCACAGAGCCGCGGACACCCTGTAGTCACTTGAGAATAACAATAGCGAAAACCTCCACAGCAACGTCAATGAGGCTTATACTACGATAGTGCTCGAGCCCTGCCCTAATTCACTTCTTGAATTCTGGCCCAAGGATGCCGAAGCCTAGGTTGTCAGGAATGATCCCATCTCCCCACGACTGCTCAATCACCTCGCAGAGCCAGAGCGTTAGAGTGTCGACATAGGACTTGGGAATTCCATCATCTCCGGTCTCTTTGTTTTTGTGCCACCCCTGTATCGTATCGGTGATTCCTCCCCGAGGTAGCAGGTTATATGACCCTGCACAGACTGGAGAGGGATAAAACTCTGCCGCAGAGGAGAGGAGGGGCGCGGCCGGCTTCTCATCGGAGTTGAGAAGATGCTAAGGCGCTCACATCAGCACTTGATCTTGGCGGAGTTTTCGCCTATGAAGCTGCCATTCACGTCTCCGAACAGAATCACCCAGCTCAGATGGCATACCACTAGCTTGGCGGATAATTTAGTAGATTTGAATGCTCCTAGTGTTTGAGGCCTGTTCCGTGGAGGTCGCTGCTTCAGTCCGATATTTCTGTCAGTTATATCTAGTCGACTTTGCCGTCATTTTCCGGAGTCGACGGAGGGAATCATCGTTGCGGGCCGAGCTCGAGGCGTGTCAGCCTCAGAGTTCTTTCGCTGAGCTGTGACGCTGCTCAGTGAGTTCAAGAATTTTCTAAGCTGCCACATTCAGTGATGACTTCAATAATGACCATTGTCCACCTCGTACGTTGCCAACTTGAGACTTAAAACGGGCCCGTATTTCTTTACTCAGGTCCTCGATGGTGCTAGGTTTTCGAAGTTTTGCAATATCAAGGCGTCTTGTACGTGACATTTTGGGTAGGGGTGACAGGTGAACTTTTAGTCGTGTGCGAACAAGAGCATAGTCCGATCCCTGGGCTTTACCAGTTTCGGTACAACGCATCGATTTGCTATCGTGAACTCAACTGCGGAACCCTGGACCAGCTGGAATGTAATCGATCTGACTGGTCCTATGGTCGTCGTTTAACTTCAAGCAGACATTTGCGGCGATACTGGATATACGTGTTGGTGACAAATATTCGGTTCTGATCAGCAAAATTCAACCTTTTCTCACCACTGTCGCATGTAGAGCCAAGTTCAAAGGGTCCAATAAGATGACTGAAGAACAGCCGAGTACCTTTACTACCGTCCTAGTCCCTGACAACAATCAGCGGACCGCTCTGAGGGAGTCTTTTAACGAACTCTTGCAGTTGTGAGGTGTATTTATTGCGCTGTTCAGCAGCTGAGGTCAGTGCGTACACGGGACGACAGACGAGTTCGTAAAGTTACCACTCAAATGCCCGTGAGCTATCTGGTCAGTGACAAGTTCCCATGTAGGCAGTGCATGGCTCGCTTGTTACGAGAGGGCGATCACCAATTGTCTATCAGAAGAGTCTCTTGGGAGTAACCTCCCGGGATCTTTATTTCCCTAGCGTCTAAGTCCGGGATTCGGGCTTCAGACAGGCACCGTTTACATCGTACTGGTGAATACTGCGCGCGTTCAGACATTAAGTACGAGGGTCGGGGAACTTTCGCACATTCCAGTATCCAGTACCAAGAGTCCGTTCCCGATTGAGCAGTCTTGCACACATTCTATTCGTCCATACCACTGGACCAGGGTTGTAGATCGCGTCGGTTCCGCAGACTCTGCAGCATGGATCGTAATACTGTAGTCTGACATTTTCATCGGGTTTCTTAGGGATTTTAAGTACAGGCCGATCCCCAACAGCCCTTAGGTTGTTTGTTCTGGATTGTCTTTTCCAACGCTTCGGCTCAAGAAGCAAAATACATGGCAATGGTGGCAAACAAAGTTATTTAAGGACGTTTTACTGTCGCCCTGTCGCAGTTCCGTCATCGGGCTTTGAGGTATTTTATAAGGCAGTCGATCGGCTAGACTTCAGCACTTCGCGCTCTGGAAGCACTGTCACTGCTGGTCCGCGACGGATTGTTTTTCAGACCCGAGAGCCTGCTTATTTCGTGGTTAAACTTCGCCAAAGGCCATTCCATTATCCGTCACCTGTGAAAGCGCCGGATAGGCAGCAGCTATGCTAACCTGTAACCCGTATTCCCGGCACGTGCATGGGTGCGCGTATTCGTGCAGACTGTATGCTTTGGCTTCCAGTAGAGCCCTAATCTTTTTTCCATCGAGTGCAATTTATTCTCCTTCGGATTTTGACCTGTTGAAATCCACTCCGCTATCTTTATTTTTCGCACAGACGCAGGTAAGAGGCAGGTGCACTACTTCGGCAGCCTTACTTTTGCTCGGATTAAATGAATTACTTCTGCTCTCGTACGCACAGGTGACTTTAGCGGCTCGTGTGTGGCACGCACAGAGGGGTTGCCCAGACCCATCAGCCATTTCGCCCAATCTCTGCATCAGTTGACTAGCCGGCTCGGACAGTGGACTGTTGTCCGGTCGGGTGAAGAGAGAGTGAGATCGACTGTCCCAACACGTATTCCTCACTGCAAGTAATGTGACGCGCTTTAAACTATCACTGTGCGCTAGAACCGTAGCTTGGAAGACTACCAGCTGACGGGACATCTAGGTCCTCTCAGGACGCAAGGCCAGACTGTCATGGCTCCTTCTTAATGTGGTCTGTATGGCACTCCCGCTGGGCGATCCGAGTCGTCCCCACTTTGTTGCATGCCAACCTGGCCCATCTTGCGCTGATGAAATGTGTTTGGCACGCGTAGTCGGGCTTTTAAGCTCTAAAAACCACTGCGCCGATCCCGCCTCTGGTTTTCTTGACTCTGCCCTCACACCGCGCCCAGGTTGGTGAAGGCAGAGAGTGGGCGCGGTTGATGCAGCGGAACTCACCATATTGTGGGCACATGGTGGATATCAATGGGCGAGCTGTCATGTGCACACATATTCTTTTGTGCCTGTTAAAAGAGTCTAACTAACTGGGGAGAATATGGAAGTAGTTCTCACCAGGTGGGTGGTCGTCTGCTCGCGATCTTGAGGTCAGGCGGCTTCCACTTTTCCTGGCGACATCGATTAACTCCATGTGCGAAACTTATGGATTCTGGTGCCTTTTGAACTGTAAATTATCGGCATGACTTCTCCCTGCCAGCGTTTCGCAACCCATGTCGATTCTGAACTTCAAAATATTATAATGTGTTTGTGATCCCACTTTGCTTGCTTAACGTTCCGCATCGAGAAAAGATGATTATTATAGCAAATATTTGTTTACTTTTCCTCTGGTTACTTTAGTGACAACTAATCTACTAAAACCCATAGTTAGAAATACCCACACTACATTTGCGATGCCATATTCAGGGCTTTCCCAACTTACAGGACGAAAACGGTGCTGATAGAACTGTTACACGCACACCAAAGTGGGTCTAAATTCGACAATGTGTAGACAAATAACCTTGACCGCCAAAGGTCGTAGTATTCTGCACCTTTAATTTGTTTTGAACGGAAAGTGCTCTTGTAGTATAACCTCCGCTGAAGTTTGTCGCATTTACAGTCACATCGATCTTCGCGAGCCGTGTAGGAGTCTGCTTACAAAACGGTCAGGGATGAGAGAACTTCAACTTCGCACTGGGCCGTTACCTGCCGTTGGACACCGTGAGATTCGTAGGTCATAGGATGATGATTGATAGAATCTTGTTTGTTACAGTAACAGAGCAATCAATGGGACGAGGCTTTCCGGGTCAGTAAGGCTTTTACACCAACCGTGCGGCACTCGCCCTTTGCCCAAGATGCCGACTTTTAATTGGCAGAATAGTCCACTGGCTGATGCTAATAACAGTCTTGAAAACGCTGCCCCTATATATGACATTGTAGCCCTGCTGCTCCTATTGGAAAGGAGGGAAGCTTAAGTCTAATTTATTTCCTCAAACACCAGAGGGTACACAATGATTGTCAACTGACTAATTTTGCGGATGAGAAAAGGGGTTTAGATGGGGAAATATAGAGAAATCATTGTGTGTCACGCCACGTTTGTAGATTGCCGGATTTAAGCCCGAGAATCCGAAGATGCGGCTGCTGGAGAAGAGACCCAGTTCATTGTAGAGACGAGTTGTCTCTGGGTCGTTGATCAGGGGTGACTGAAGGGTAGGGCTCACCTTACGCCAGCGGGGGACCAGGTGCGGCGCAGTAAGGTACTGGGGAAGCTGGCGCACTTTCTTGGCAGGCGGATATTCCAGCGGGTAGTCAGTGCCTGCCCCGCCAACCGTGTAGTAGGGCAGTGGGTCAGCCATTTCCTGTTTCGTGTATCCCGTAGGGTAGACCTTGGGCGGATTGTGTACCCTGGCAAAGCGTTCCTGGGCTATCGTAGGGTCCTCCGCTGCCTCAATGCTTGGTTGCCTTTAGGCAGTAAATGGTGCCGGAGGTGGATAACTTAGACTTTAGTGGATTTCAGATAAATGATTTCAAAATTCAACGAAATAAGAGTCGGCAAACGCACGTTTTTCACTTCACTATCTGACCTACACAGTCAAGGCAGGAAAGAAAACGATGAATAACATCCCATGATCAAGAGTGACAAGAGGGAGGACTGAGGATATGTAGACATTTGAAAACACGGGAGGAGTTGTGGTTCGGTGGCTCTTTTGCATCATTCGCTGCCCTACCTTGGAGTATTTTGTTGTCTAGAACTCAAGACGAATAATCGAGGACTCGTGCTTAAAAAACTGGTAAGATGCGGTTTGGTAGTCCCACCTGATGGACACGAGAATGTTGGGGTTGGGGTAAAAGGTTAGGGTTAGGGGTTATGGTTAGAGGTTGGGAGCTATGGTCAGAGGTTAGGATTAGGGGTTGTAGTTAGGGGTTAGAGGAACTATTTCTCAACCACTCAAAGTACAACCGCGCATTTTCAATAGCTTTTATTTTGCATACAACTACTTGAACTCGCCGCTTGTGCGTTCCCCGGCTCCAGCTGTAAAAACCCCTATTACCACCAGTCCCGTATTAGAGGTGACTAGGGTTTCTTTACTTCAGTTGGGGTCAAATAACCACATCCGACCAAAAAATGGACTAAGAAGTGTTAAGTAACTAACTAAACCAAAGCCTCAGTTGGTGCTAAAGGGGACAGACCTACGTGCTTCGACTTTTAGGTGCTGGTCAGAAAATCGCAGATGTCCTTGACGCTCCGGCTAGGTTTTACGGAGGACTGTTGTCCGAAACCCATTCGTCCACATGCTCTTGATGTAAGGATAGCCTTCCAGTGATTATTGTTATTCATTGTGGACCTACTGGTTTATAGGTCATATATGGTCGGGATTCTTTTACGCGTCTTTTAAAAGATAGATGTGCCTAAAAAATGCGATATCTCTGACTGACAGAACATCGAGCGCAATTTCCAAAGGCTAGAACTTCAATGAAGCAATTTTCGCATCTGTGATTAGTGATTTTATTTCGCGAATGGTTCGATTTGCCTTTGGAGATTTAAATGCTGCGATTTCTCGATAAATGTCCGCGCGCCATCGGAGTTACAACAGTTTGCAGTAGGCTTATGTTGATGCTACTGCGTATCTACCCTTCCTTTACCGCCCGGCCCGTCACCTGAGGTCAGGTTGGAATCCTAGTATATGCTGAGTCTGCAAACGGTTGGACCATGCTCCTAATAATTGAGCGCATGTTGTTAATGAGAACATAAGAATGTTTTTAACAAGTGGCTAGCATCAAGGACAAACACTAGAAGATAGGAAGTAGCAGGTAGCAGCATACGCATTAAGTTTCTCTAACGGTTGGAAAGAGTTAAAACAGGCAAAGTTTAGTAATTGTAGGCACATTTGAGTACTACACTTTTTTCCCTTGGACGATAGTGATCCACCCCCTCCTGGCCTGTAGCGTTACCGTTAGGCCTCCTTGTTAACGCCTCGAGGGCTGAATAACATAGCCGCAAAAGGCAAGGTAGACTGGAATGTCTATTTCTGGCCTGTTACTAACTGAAGTTAGCTAGTCGTACCCAACCGCGAGGTGTGGAACACCTGGGGCTCGATCCGTGATCTGTTGGTTGGAAGTCAAACGTCCCTAACCATTGAGCCATGGACGCGTTGCCTTGTCGGTTGTGATCGAGAATATACAATAGTAGAGCGGGGCTCACGGAGTATGCCACGAAACTCATTCGTCCCGTTGTGCGCGAGGGCTCTCTCTCTCGAGCACAACCAGGAGCCTCACAGCGGAGCGTAATATAGACGGAAAACACTACCGGCAAAGACAAGAGAGACTGGAATGGCCGTTTTGGCTGGTATGGCTGGCTTATGACGATTAATAGGCCAGAAATGGTCATTCCAGTCTCCCTTGTCTTTGCCAGTAGTTTTTCTCCGTCTATATTACGCTCCGCTGTGCGACTGATGGTTGGGCTCGATAGAGAGCCCCAAGGCCCAACGGGACGAGAAAATTCTGTATCATGATCAGCGAGCGCCCCTCTATTACAGCCTAGAGAGTTTTTAACTCCTGAAAAATATCACTAATATAGAAGAGAGACAGTGTGTGTGATAATTTTCGTCTAACTACCGTCGTCAAGTAGCCAAGCGTAGATCAACATGCCGGAATACTTGAGATTTGACTGGTGGTAAGTCCTGTCATCACTTTAGATCTGTGAACCACATCCCCACGCGACTTTTCAACTGCTCATATTTGCGAAGAAGGATATTCTCAATAACGAACCTAGGAAGTTTTTCTGAAGTAAATAAGAACTACCTGACTCTGTTCATTTCTTTATAGCGTCCTCGGATGCATTGAGGAAAACTCGTTCTCTGGCCGTTCCATTTCCCCAAAACCAATTTAAAATATAATTGCTACTTATTTCTATTGAGTACCGTACCCAGTTGACTATCTACCATGACAGTTCGACAGTCGCGTGGACTGACGCTGTTCACAGCAAGGTAAGAGCAAGCACGGTGACTTGTGCGCGAATTAGTTTAACGTTGTAGTAGACCTGCATAGCATCTACCGAACTCTCTGCTCATCTCAACCTGGGCCCGGTGTCAAGGCATAGAAAGAAGGCTGGAGGCCAGAGAGGGCGCAGGTGGCTGACACGGCCGGACCCACACCTTGGCGTACCACCCACCCCCTGGTTCATAGCAAACACTCGACCAGGATTTTTACCAACAAAAGCCCAACAACGGGCCAGAAAGAGGAGGAGGACTAGGCAACCATGCTCACAACCTGCATACCCGGCGGGAGCGCAGACGAATCTGCCGCCGGGGAATCAGGTACTGCGGAACTGACAGAGCACAATAGGGTGGGAGGGCCATGATCTGCTGATCGTGGCATAGCAGACACCTGCATTCCTTAAGGCCCGGAAAGGTGAGACGCAGACGCGCACTTTGCCTGATCCATCACTCTTCAAAGGCAGGGTAGTCAATCAGACTGAGGAGCATTACCCATGTGCAAACATACTCCTTGCATGCGTGATAGTGGCAGAGGTTACGTTAAGAAGGAGCCGTGGCAACCTAGCTCCCAGCTCACCAGTCCGCCATTGCACACAAACACAAACACGACTGGGCTGACTGCGTGGACTGAGTTTAGACTCGGATCACGCATGCAGCAGAGGAGCAACATAGAGAAGGAGTCGAGTACCACATTTCCCGCTTGCATGGGGGAAGGCAAGTGGGTGCTTGTGATGGGTGATGGTGTTTATAGGTGCGGGTGCCAGTGGAGGAAAGTGCGGTAGTGTGGTATAGTCAGCGGATGTCTACCGCCGATTTTCATGAGTGCGCACGTGACCTAATAAGTCCATGCGGTGGCTGAATGTGCGGGGACAGCGGGGCAGTTGAGGCGGATGAGGCGAGTGTAGGTTGGTGTTCCAGGCACTGTTTCGCCAGCTTCTGTGCGAGAGATTCTCAAGTGACCGAACACGCCGATTTGTGTACGATCGTAATGGGGGCAGGTATGAACCGGGTCCATATCGCTGGAGGTGGGAGTGTTGGTGGTGACAGTAGAATGTGATGGGAAATCACACGTCGTCCCATCGTGAATACGTGAAGTCGTGGTGATGGCGATGCAGGGGTTGGGGCCGGGCGGATGGTGGCGGCGACGGGACAGAGACACTGTGATCGGCGGTGATGGGGCTGACGGTCGTTACGGGGTTTGCAGCGGGGACGAGAGCAGGGGAGGGGGCAGACATTGTCGGATTGATAGTGAATTGGGTCTGAAGGTGTCCAGTGAGACCGATTCGCGCGCGGAGTGTGCGTTGACAGTGACGGATGGTTGGCATTGAGGAAGCGAGACACTTGTGATCTGCTAGCTCCCCATTTGGCTCTGGCGACGATCCGGTTTGCTTCGTAGATGGCTGTTCCAGTCTTCACTTCTCTTCTCTAGGCCGGTCTGTTCTGGGCGAGATCCTTCCACGTCTCCGGATTGATACGCAATCCCACAAGGAAATTCTTCAATGTGTCCTTGTAGCGTTGTCTTGGTCCTCCTGGTCGGCGAGCATCGGTGACGACATTACCACGGAAATGTTTTTTGGTATTCGTGTGTCTTCCATCCTCACTTTAACGTAGTTGCTGTCGCCTCAACATGATGTAAACGCTAGGGATGCCGGTCCGGTTTGGGACTTCGGTGACGGGGATCCTGTCTTGCCATCTCAGCTTTGTATTCTGCGAAGGCAGCTGAGATGGAAATAATTTGGGCTTCTTGGCACGGCTAGAGTAGGCGGTCCAGGTCCCCGCTCCGTAGAGAAGCGTCGACAGGACGACGGTCTTGTGCATCTTCAGTTTGGTATTCAGTTGGAGGTCGCGGCGATTCCACACGGAGTTCTGCAGCCAGCCGAAGGCTTCGCGGGCTTTGGAGATCCGGTGAGCCACTTCATCGTCGATTCTGACACTGCCGGAAAATGTGTTCCCGAAATAAGCAGAATGGTCCACGGTCTTGAGTTGGTTGCAGTCGACAGTGATTCGAGGAGGAGTGCGGTGTTGCGTGTCGGGTGACGGTTGTTGTATGACCACCGTTTGTCCGTCTTGATAGTCAGATCGAAGTTGGCGCACCCGGCGGCGAGGTGGTCCATGCTCCGTTGCATACCCACGTCGGTCGTGGCGTTGAGCGCGCAGTCGTCGGCGAAAAGCAGGTCATGGGTGGTGGTCGTAGACAGTCGCGGGGGGGGGGCCGCATGCGCCTGCCTGATCTACCACATTGGCAGTACGAGAGTTCGATTGTTGTTGCTGACGATAGCCACCGTGCGCCCCACAGCAGGGTGGGCACAGGAACGGTGATTTGCGCGTGAATTATTTTGTTGTGAATTCGTTCCCATTGTTCGGGTAACTTCTTTTTCATTGATAGGGTGACTCCAGAGTAGATCTGTACGCAAATCAGTACAAAACTCGTTTCCGAGGCATTTTAAATTACGAAAAAATGTTTTTTGTGCGTATATAAGCACAGCCGAGGTCTACGCTAATAAATTCAGGATATTGTCGACGGCTGGGAGAGCAAAATGGCTGAAACACTTCTGATTGGTTGCAGAAGTTCAATTTGAAAAACTGAGCCAGACGCATGACTTAGTGCCCACAACGCCGGAGGAAGCTGAGTATTCAAGCTCCGGCTCGTGAATTATTGCCTCATATACCTTAGAACGAAACCCCCAGGTACCGGGCATATCACGATAGCTCATCTTGAGAAGCCTAGGGAATTATGCCAGAACAGGGGAATACTCGTTATCAAACCAGACAGCCGTTTTGATTACGTGTTAATGAATAAACGGGTTAATGCCTACAAGATGGAAGCAATCCTGGCTAATGTGGCTAAGTTTAGAAGAGGGAGGCGAGCTAAGGATCAACATGTTTTCAGAAACTGAAAGTCGAAGATTTCCTTCGTGAACAAGAATTCTTATCTCCTAAGCCCATTGACACAAGCCTCCCTCAAAAATGTATTTTTTACCTACAATTCATAAATCTGACCTTTCTATGCAGCTTTTATTTGAAATATGGAATTAACCTTACACACAATTTTAAAGCGGCTGACCTAAATAGCACTTCACAGTCTCAATAACACATTTAAATTCATCAGTTCCATAAGAAATACGAATCTCAGTGGAAAGCCGATGGTATTCTTAAATGTCTCGCCTCTGTTTAGTAATGTCCCCCACGCGGAGAAGATATAGCATCTATGTTATGAGCTTATTAAACAGGAATTCATAATAGGCATATCTGTTGAAGCCTAAAAGAAGCTGCTCTTTCGCTGCATACCAGATGTTTAGTTCAGATCCGATGGCCAGTTTTACTGCCAGGTCGACAGAGTGGCAAAGAGATCAACCCTTGAACCCCTTCCATCGAATATATTCATGGGAAAACTAGATAGGAACTGGCTCTGTTCAGCCATAAAGGACTGCGAGTCCTATGTATTCTGTGTTGAGGACATTTTTGCAACGGCGAATGGGAATTTTTATTTAGACACCCTCCTGGACAAAGTGGATCAATGTCGTCCAGCCTTACCGTTTACTTTGCAAGTAGAGGGGCAAAAGTGGCCCTTGCTTCTAAAAGTTTTACTTATAAGGACGTTTTGAAGTATATATCGCAGGAAAATGTGGACAGGTTAATATACAAATTTCTACAGTTTTGTTCCTCTGAATCAGACACAAAGCTTAGACCGATGCTTAACCAACCGAGTTAGGAGGATATACGCTCCGGATATGCTGGACAAAGAAATCGCTGTTATGTAAAATACTGAGAGGAAATGGTTTCTCCGGTAAGTTTCTTACGAGATATATGGAAGAACGTCCGCCAAAAATCGACATGCCAACGGTTAAAAAGAAGGAACTGTTCCACACTGCCGTTTTGAGGGGATCCTGTCAGCGAACTTTACCAAGGTTTCTTAAACTCCGCTATCGCGCGCATGTACCCAGTTGCCAAAATATGATTAAATTTCTCAAGCATACCGCATCTCCGCCTTGAAGGTAAAGATAGGCTGCCCTTCCAGACTTCTTCAATGTGCATCCACGTCTTTGCTCGTTTCTAGGAGGCAGATGATACTAGTAGAATGGCAAGACGTCTATCCAGATGACTGCGAGGGCGTCATTCTGTCTGGCTAGACCAAGGCATGCAAAAGTCTATCACTAGCGCAATTGTGGCCAACCTACTTGAAATCGGCCACGGGGTAGACGCTAACCATCTATAAAGTGTTGGCGGGGCACTTCAAGTCCCCGCTGCCCGCCTCCTTCCACGTCGTGTTACTGCGATGAAACGTAAGCATTACTTGCTAGCAGATTCCCTCCCTTTCTTCCCTTATGCCACAGACAGAGTTAAACTATAATTACCCCTGGTTCTGACAGGTCTTAGCGTCCCGACCCTCGCCACCATAATTACCACTCATTGGCTGTTACTAATCTTGCCACGCTACCTCAGCCCCCTTATATTATTGTAGAAGCCTGACGAGGAATAATTGAAAATGTATTCTCGCCGGACTTGACTTCATCAGTGCTTACATGGGTATCATCGCAAATTTGATACAATTCAGATTATATAGAATGAGGGCGAGATTGTCATACAACTCTAATGATGAGCTTTGTAGGCAGGCAGCTGGATACTCGGGCGAACATATCCTAGCCGAATGACTCAGTCGGATGAACTAGTCTCGAAAATCAAACTACTGAATTATCGAATGTGAGCGGAATCTCAACAAGTGAAAATCACTGAATGTGAATGAAAATCGGTAAGCCCGCCGGGAAAATTCTAAAAATTTCACTAAAAAAGCGTAATATTTTCGGGGAATGTCCGATGGACGCATTCAGCTAAGATATATTTACTAGAATAATCGTTTTGACACCAAGATGTGCATATATGAGACTTAATTTGACTTCAGATTCTACAGTATGATGACTTAACAGCTTATTCTGGTCACTTTAACTGTGAAAATGCTAAGTCGTCCATTTAATGAAAAATACGTGGAGCCATATTTCCGAAAACGAACAATTTATAGATCGGAGCATATGTCCTCTCAATATAAAGTCTGCTTACAAAAGGGGTGTGTGTCTCCATATTGCATCATTTTAAGCAAAACCCACAACTTTTTCAATCCTTCAGTACGACTTACCTCGTGCTCATTGGACGTTACAGCACTAACCTGCAACCAACAGAGAGGGATTTAGTCAATTAATTCTTGTTTACAGCACATACAGCGAATGGGTTTCTGCTCCGGAATGAGCCGGGCCGAACTTCTACTAGACCCTTATTAATTCTTTTGTTGTCGCTTTCGGGCGAAGGTATTCGGTCGCTAGGCTAAACAATACCGAACCTGTGCGCAAGTCGAATATATTGCACTTACCCTTGCGTAGTCTTGGTTACTAATAGACCAATCAGAAAAGGGAAGTGCCCCGACGAGATGCCAGATTCCGTACATAGGATTTTGAGTCATCCTCAGCTAAGTTTTAAATTAATAACCACCAGGACCCTAATTGGAACACGTGGGTCTTTCAAGGATTTTCTCAGAGTATCCAAAATTAGCTAACTTTACCGCAACCGTAAAACGCTAATCGACAGTTCGGAACTGTCACTTTCAGTATTAGGCCGCTGTTGGTTGACAGATATGATTATTTGGTTCTGTAGGCAATTAGTGTCCAATTTACTCATACAGCCATGTTCTGATCTTCTAAGTGGACTTTTCAGGATTCAGAGAGTCAAATTATAATTCCTCCCGTCCTCACCATAAATGACAAAGAGGTGACGTTAAAAGACACTCAAAAGCTCCTCTCGCACCATGAGCAGTAAGATATATGCTTGTGCTTTCAAAATGAGCGGAGCTGTCAACTCAGACTTAAATGGGGATAAATACGAACGTTGCACATAAGGAGCCGCTCCTTTCCAGCGTCAAATTTTATCTGTTATTGATCTGACTATGCCTTGCTGCCCCTAGCAGCAGTCCAGACCAGGTGAGAGTACCAGGTTTTTGTGTGCCCCAGATACGGTGTTCCACTTTCAAAAGTCTTACGGATAGAATGAGATGCAATCCCGTAGGCGGTTTAGAACAGAGCCGTGGCCCTTAGAGGAGTTCTGTATATGTCTCGGATGTCTAAACAGTCATATTTAAAGATGGTAGTGCTTGCCCGCTCTCTAGGAAGGGCCTAGAAGAGGTGCCCTATACAACTGCTGGGAAATCACGCCATATATAAGTACATCGTAGCTCGTAGATGCAACACTCGCCGTTGAAACACAAAAACAGTAACAACAACACTCGTTCTCCTCCCTTTGCCTCGACTCTCGGGCTGTTAGGGTGAGACACTTTGAGAAGCAGTCATTGAAGCCTAACTCTTAGACCACCAGTCGGCCACTCCACACAAACACACAACACTGGGCCGACTGCGAGGTCCAAGTTATCCCGTCAACTGGCAACTTTCCAAGCCACGGCTTTTAGTGCGCCGTGATAGCTTCAAAGGCGTCAGATTGTTTATAGTGAGGAAAGTGCACTGAATCATCGAACTCACTCTTTTTTCCCATTCCCAGGCCCCGTCAGTGTCTGAGCCGGTCAGTTGACATGTGCAGGGAATGCATGTGGTGGCTGACATATACAGTGACCTTGTCTGCGCCGGCCATATGCACGCCCTGGCCCCCCAAACACAAACACCAGGATTTCACGCAACGGGGGTTGAGCGGCGGAAACCTCACATGCGTGAGAGTTTCGTAGGCCACGTTAGGAAGGAGCCGTTTCAGCCCGACTCTCAGTCCACCACTCTGACACTCCACACATACACACACACAACTGGACAAACTGTGTGGACTGAGTTGGGGCTTCGGTCAGCAGCCTTCCAAACCACGGCGATTGATGCAGCGTGATTGTCTCATACTCGGATTACACGTGCGGTGGAGGAGCAGCATGGAGACGGAGTCAAGACACTCACTTCCCACTTGCGTGGGAAGTAGTAAGCGGATGCTTGCAGTGGTAGATGATGATGTTGCGTGGTGCAGGTGTTATTAGGGGAGATGTGATGGTGTGGTGTAGCCAGCGGTTTTCTGCCGCAGGTTTTTGAGGATGCGCATTTGGCCTAATAGGCCCATGTGGTGAGCGAACGTGAGGGTGAAGTGAGGGCAGTTAAGGAGGATGCGGTGAGTGTACGTGGGTGCTCCAGGTACCGCTCCAGATGACCGCCCATTCACGATCTCTGACGTCGTCATCGACCGGCTCTCTCAAGTGGAAACTAACAACGGCCTGGGTCTCCAGCCTTCCATCTCAGGAACAATCAACTAAGCATACCGGATATACAGCGAGAAAATAGCAAATTGTGGCGCAATCTCGGCCGAATTCCGCAAGCGAGGTGGACCCCGATGATGGACAAACTTACAACGTTAATCCAGGAGGTGTGGCACAACTACCGTCCAAGCGGAAGGAGGACCGACAGGTTTTATATCATCACAGGGGTTTTGCTGCTCAACAGTGACGTGAAGATCTTTGCTTGCATCTTTCCCGACAGTCTCAACGACCATCTCGAACAAGGTTTCTTCCGAAAGGTCAGTGTGGATTCCGATAACATAGCGGAACCACCGACATGATCTTCGCCGCTCGCCAGCACCAAAACAAATGCCAGGAGATGCGGACACATCTCTATACTAACTTTGTGGACCTGACGAAAGCCTTCAAAACAGTGAATCGCTATGGATCCTGGAAAGTCATACAGAAATTCGGATGTCCTGTGCAGTTCCCGTACATTGTGTTAACCCCACGACAGGAAGATTCCTCGCGTCACGGACAATGGGACAATAGCCAGTGGAGTGCGACATAGCTGCGTACTTGTTCCCCCCCCCCTCTTCAGTCTCATGTTCTTTGCTACGATGAAGGACGCCTACCCTGATGAGCGCCCTCGGATTCACATCGTTCGTAGGACTAAGGACCATCTTCTCAACGACAGGCACATGCAGGCCCCAACGCGTCTATCCACGACTACTGTTCACGGTCCGCTCTTCATGGACGACTGCGCGCTCAACATCGCGACGAAAGCGGATATGTAAAAGAGCATGGACCTTTCCGACGCGGTCTGCGCCAAGTTCGAGCTGGCCGGCAATAGGTATAAAACGGTGGTCATGTCTCAGCCGTCAACCAACACCGTATACAACGTCCGTCGCGTCATTGTCATTGTCGCCCAACTGACGACCGTAGACAATTTCGCCTATTTATGCTATGCCCCCTCACGCAGCACCATAATCGACCGGCGTGTTGAGGAGCACTCCAGTGAAGCGGACGACAAGGTTATTGAATTGCAATATCTTGAACGAATGCCTAAAGCGAATGATCATTGATGCATGCGTAAATAAGACAACATGTCAAACCCAAGTGACACCAAATTTTGGCGAGCGATCCTGTGCGTCGAGGACGACCCGGGGGCCGTCAGCCGCCTTCTCTCATCTCTTGGAGCTGCATACAGACCGGAGGCAACAATCAATCGCCTAATTGTGGGGTCAATTGATCCTCTGCCACGTCAGGAAGCGTATATACCTGGCGAAGTTGTGGGCAAAAGAACTTTGCCGGAGAAACTGTAAAACTACACCGGGCGCGGAGGGCCGAGCACGCAGAAGTAGTAGGGAGGAACGACACCAACTCCCAAGACACAACGCATTCGACGGAAGTCGGCTGTACATTCGATTTCGAGGAGGCCAAGATTCTTACGAGAGATGACAGCCGCGTGATCCGCGAACTGCTTTAGTCATGGTTTTCCCGCCTCGATAGATTGACAAGCACAATGACCTCCCGCCTCCATATTCTGTGCTGAAACTGTCTAGGCAGTGTCGTCAGCCACGCAGGGAGCACGAGCGTCAGCACTATTTCTAATGCTAATGTCGGTAGGCCAAATGGTCCAAAAGCCCGCACGAGCGATACGATGTCGACTAATAGCAACTCACCTACGAACATTCAAGCAGTTATCACACCGCGTGCAACCCTCTGCAATGGATGCTAGAGTCGTCAATTTTGATGGGTATGCGGTGGCATAGCAGTTACATCCTATAAATACTGTAACACTTCTGCAAGACATTGCCCGGCAAGATCGCAGTTGGTAGCCAGACATTATACATTGATACTGTCGATGTACGTACTTGTTATCAGTAGGTGTGCTCTTACTGAGTTAGGCAGGTCGCCCGTTTCAGTCAGGCTGTTAGGTTTAATGAGGGTTAGGTTAGGCGTAGGTTAAGTTTTAGGATAAGGGTTTGCACTTTGGGTCAGGTTTCAGTGTTAGGGTTTAGCTTCCCGTTAGGGTTAAGGTTAGGGTCAAGGTTAGGGTTTGGGTTATGACTAGGTTTTGGGTTAACCTTGGGTTTTAGGATTTTAGTTACGTTTCGGTTTTGAGGCTTTCGGTTAGGCTTTACTGTTGCGGTCATGGTTGGATTTTAGGGTTAAGCGTAGGGTTTGATTTTCCGGCATTATTCCACCTACTTAAAACTTCCCAGCAGTTTCCCTGGTAACTTTACTTTTACCCAGAAACTCCAACATTCCTCTACCAACCCTTCCATTTACCCCACCCATATAACCCCCTTCCCCACCATTCCCGTACGACAGGGACCTGGCTGTCCGCCTCCCCATTCCTGGCTACCAACTGCGATCTAACCCATTGCCTTTATCCGACTGTCTCTCATGACAGATTTGAGTGTGGGTATGTTGGGAATGCCTACACTCCCAAAGCAAGAGCCAGCCAATCACTGGAGGTCATGTGGATTTTCTCTAGCGCGCTGTCAGCATGATCCTGGCGCTTTGCATTCGCTGCTCCCCTCGAACCTGATTGACCCGTGTATGCGAGTAATCGATCAGCTCGTCTAGAATTTCCCTCTCTAAGCGCATTGGACCGAATGCAGGCGAACCCCAATATGACGCTATGAGTGCGCGCTATTTTCCCAATTAGAAGGACTTCCAGATTTCTAATACGTTCTTTGTGGCCGGTCGTGTTCTCCGTCTCTGCTGCGTTGGTATCGAGGACAACAGTCGAGTGCGTACACGCTTCGCGTGATTTCTGAGTATCAGGTCGGGCTATAACAGGTTATGAGACGTCAGACGAATGAAAAATATTGTTCTATGAAGTGGTTTTTATTCGTCAGGTTAGGTGGACGAATTGTGATAGACATCGAGT